TGGTCTGTTTAATTTGAAGTCTTCAACACAGACTGTAGATTAAAGATTGGTGTGGCCTCCACATGTCCCAATTGGCTGGTGGCCGACTATCACCCAGTTCCCAGCAACTGGGAGTCCCTCCTCCTTCTCCTGGGGCGTATCTACTTTAAACTATGAACACGCCCATTTCACTTAATTGCAGAGTGTCTTAGAATTAAGTTTTTAAAATGTAAATTATCAAAAGTATTACCAGTATACAATTCTTTATTTCAATCGAATCTAATAAAAAGATACAACTGAAAAATTTAAATACCTTTTTTTTTTGCACACTGTGTAAAAAGCATGGCCAATTCCTGTAAGTTCCTTACACCTGCATTCTTTCTAATGGCCAGCAGGGGGCAGTTGCAAAAAACTAAAAGCAGCCCAATTGTATAAATGCGATTTATTCATTTGATCGACTCATGACCTAAGTAAAGACTTGCAGTCAAACCTATGATCTCACTGATTGTTGTTTAGTCTTTTTTAATATTATTTAATATTATTATTAGTATAGTTAGTACAAGAAATGATAAAGCAGGGTATGTTTTCAGTCGTGGTTACATTCATCACACCCAGTTTCAAAAGTCCAATTTTGTAATAGCGACTATGCTGAAGTCCAGGCTTGTCTATCTTTTATATACAGTCTGTGGTCCCAAAGCTTGTGATGTCACGTGTTTATTTATTTATATGTTTATTTGAGGACAGGCTAAAAAGCCACATGGGACCGTATATGAGAACTTTCACCAGATGTGTTATTACTAGTGAAAAGCATAGATCAAGCTCTATGTTTAAAATCTATGCAATGCCCCTTTAAAGACTCTCAAATTACCCTAATCACTATCATCTACTCTCACCACTCCAAACTCTGCAATAAAAAACATGTTCACCGATGTGCAACATCACATACTAATGCACTCGTCAGAAATATTGAACTCCATGATTTATTTACCAAATTAAATTCTCGGCATGCATGAGATCAGACTCTCGTTACAAAGATTAGATTTAAAGCTGTGCATCCTGCGCAGGGTACAGATTCTCATTTTGAAACTAAACTGACATCATCAAGACGCTGAACGTGAGGCAATCTCGGCGAACACGGCCGTATGATCGCGCTAATGCGAATCAAAGTGAAATCCAATCATCTGTCATATTAGAGAGGATGCGGTGTTTTATCCATTATGTTGTATTTTCCTGCTATGCTATAAAGAGATCAGCTAAGGCTCATTAGATTGTGAACTGGCATTTGAAACATGCGCAAAGCACAATTCCTAATGCCTTACCTATTTCCTGGTATTGATCCTAAAGAAAGCTAAAGTTAAGGCGGCCTGTCATCTTACTACTTAAAAGACAAAGATAGACAGAGCCATTACTTTTCCATTGTTTGCAGAAGTTCACTTCAAAAGGGTGAAAACTCTGGTGTAGTCTGAGGCTTGGGAAAGCAGAGCAGGCAGGTGGAGCTGGAAGGAGAGGAGGATGCAGGGATGGAGAGATTGGAGACAGAGGAGTGAAGAGGGGGAGCCCTTTGATCTCTGGCAGAAGTGGATGCTGAAGAGAAGAGACAGAGAGCTGCAAAGAAGACTGCAAACAAGGCATGCACTCAATTCCCAATAGTCGCACCAACGCGAAAGGAAGATAGAAAAAGAGGGGAAGACAGAAGGAGAGAGAAAAGTTGAGCAGATTGAACGAGACAGAAAGGAGAGGGCGAGAGAGAATGGCAGGGTCGCAGAGAGATAGAGAAGAAAGGAGGAGAAGACAGAGAGGATGAAAATGAAGTTGAGGGAAACAGATAAGACCAGGATGTTAAAAGGATTTCAGTCCGTGGGCTGTTTGGGGAGTTCTCTCCAGCCCTATGCTAAAGCAATTAGTATTGAACCCCTTCTAGGAAAGAGCAGCCAAACCACAGCGGCAATCTCTAACACTGTTAGTGTGAAACAACCAAGTCAAGCAAACCCCACGGTCCCCATTAAACCTCAAGTTTTAATTGCCGTGTCAGGATGGTGCCGCATTTCACAGCCCATAAGTGTGTACTCTCAAAAAAGTTGGCCCAGTGAGTCCCTCTTCAACTGGAAACCCCGAGACAGTAAACAGTGCTGCTTTGCTGGGTTGAAAAGGCCTGCATAGCACGATAACAAAAGCTCAACATTAAAAGTGAAAGGGATACTTCGAAAGAGCTGTCGATAGCGTGGCGACAGAGAGAAACGAGCAGTGTGTTTCTTTGTTGCCGTCCAGCTCATTTGAAACCACTTTGTAAAGTTTTCATTCAAAGTGAGATTGTGTCATTTCTGCCGTCGCCATCTTGGTTTTTTCTTTTTTTAAAACAACAACTCTGACTGTGAAACCACTCGCTCACTGGCAGTGTTGGGATTGTAACTAAATGAAAATGTTATGTAGCACACATCACATTTCTTGACAGTAACGAAGTACGTAACTTCATTATTCCCTGGAAGATTCATCACACTACTCAGTACATTACTGTCTGGTAAAATGACCTGATACACACTGTAACCTAATTACCAGTTAGGCTACAGTTCCACACACTGATCGAAATCGCCGTCCTGCCAAGGACACGTGTGATCTTTCTTTCATTGTTCGTGTATGAACGCAAAGCAAAGCTGAAAACCAGCGCAGAGAGACTTCAAAGTAATCATCACAGAGACTCTACTTTAGAAACATGAGCAGGTAGAAACAGAGCCTACAGCCTGACTGCTCGTCACTGGGGTTGGGAGTCACTCAGCTTTTTTTGCTAGCTTTGTGTTAGCATGCTGTTTCTGCAGATGTTTGCAAAGAGTCTGTTTGTAGCACAACAAGTTCTTTTTCTGTCCTGGGTGCCGATTGAACTTTGTGCTCTTTCCTGCAGTGCAATAAAAATAAAAACAATGTCCGCATCTCCACTCAACTGAAATCAGTTGATTAAAGAAAAAACATGTTTCATGTTTTTTTTTCCTTTTTATCTGATTACAATTGTAATGTAATTACTGCATGTAGTACACTAACACGTTACTTTATTGCACTGGTGTCGAACTCCAGGCCTCAAGGCCCGGTGTCCTGCAGGTTTTAGATGTTTCCCCGATCCAACACAGCTGATTTACCTCCTCAACATGTCCTGAAGTTCCCCAGAGGCCTGGTAATGAACTGATCACTTGATTCAGGTGTGTTGACCCAGGGTGAGATCTAAAACCTGCAGGACACCGGCCCTCGAGGCCTGGAGTTTGACACCTCTGCTTTATTGCCTTACTAGAAGACGTATTGTGATTACCTGTCAATCACAAGTCATTAGCCAATGAGTGTGCTGTGGATAATCTAGGCTTCTGGAGGATTCTTACGATGCATGTGTCCAATGATCCCACGTACTGTGGAGACACCACAGCAGTCACACGACCGGCCAGCTCTCTCTATGTCTGTCTCATTTCTTAGCCTGGACTTGTGTTGCATCAGCCCTAATAGTTCCTTTGATGTTATCCAGCCACTTCTTTTGCTGTCCGCTTTTTCTTCCTCTCCCCTGGAGAGTGGTCTTTGTCAAACTTGTCATTCTTGAGACGTGGCCGTATTGAGATTTTAATTTCCCTTCTTTTTGACTGGTGACAGGAGTTCTTAACCGATGCCCAGGATCTTACAAACCAGAAGCAGTGTCTTTTCACTGCCTGTTTTTTCTCTCCCAGGTCACCTGAAAGCATCCATGTAGAGCAGTGGTGTCAAACATATGGCCCAGGGGCCAGAATCAGCCAAGTGAAGAGTCCAATCTGGCCAGCTGGGCAGCTCCGGAAAATGTGAAGGAGTGCATAGATTTTTGCCTGTATTTTTGTAACTTTTACAGCTTATTCTATTCATAAAGAGGCATTAAAATTCATACTTCACCAGAGTAATTAAATAATAGCTAAACGATGACAAAAAAATTTCAGTTTTTCTGCCATGTATATCAAAATGTCTGGGTTTGGGGGGTTTTGAGGGCGGTTAATAGGTCAGTGAGTTCACAGTAAAAACTTTATAATTACAGGATAATCTGGACAGTGAACTATCATAACCTTTTCTGTAATTTTACCCGTTTAACTCATAATTTCACTGGTCCAGTCCGGCTGAGAGGAATACTTGGATAACAGTCGTATTTTAAGCTTTATTCTCAGAGTGAAGATCTTATCTGTACATATTGGCTTTAGCATGACAAATGTCATAGTTTGGACTATTTTGGACTACTGAACCATGCATACACTAGAAGCAGGAGGAAACACCTTTACCTACTGCAGGTTATAACTTTGCATTTACTTTCCAAGAGTGTTTTTCTTTTCATCTAATTTTCAACAGGAAAACACAGAAGCATCGTACATTTTCTTTAACAGAATGATTCGGACACTGTAATAGTCTTTGCACACCTGAGTAGCACCTGCTACACCAGGTATTTCATTTCACTGTTCAGTCACTCACCTGCTTCCTGCACCTTCGACAAAATCTACGTCTTTTTTTCGCGTCACCGTTTCCCCGAGTTGTTATTTTGCATGCGACTGTTCACTTGAGTTAGTCCTAGCAGCGCGCCTCCTCTGACCGCTCTCATCCAGGTTTCCAGGAAGGCTGCTGACTGTCGTGGGGGATTTTCTCTCTCTTTCCCTGTGAATAACAGTCATCGCCAACTGCAGTGCGCCAAATCTCAGGAGGCTGTCACTTTCTGGAGCAACATGTCTGGCACAGACAACCACACTACATCTAAAGTCACTTAAACAACGCGTCGCTGCCATTCCAACATTTAGTTGAACAGCAGCCTCCTGTCTGTATGCATTTTGCTACAGCTTTATTTATACGTGACTCACTGCCTGGAGGAGTGAGCTGCCGATGTGAAAAAAAAATTGTAGCCAAGAAAGTGAACACTGTTGATTTATGTGTTTAAATGTGTGCATTTGTGACACTGGGTTGTTTTTTTGTTGTGCGTGCCAGATGAAATTATCTCGTCTTTCTTCGAGGCAGGTCTTGGATGAACTGTGCAGACTGCTTACCTTGGAATATCGCGGCGTTCTGGATGATGAGACGTTTGAGTTGTGCGCTGACAACCTGCAGACCAGACTCCATATTGCTGCGCGCCGCTACCTGATACCGCTCCTCCATCTTCTTGGAACAGCAGGTCGGGCCTTTGGTTTGGCAAACCTGCAGATCTGCACCTGGCAGGAAATCAGCAGGGACAGGATGGTAGTCTGGATGAACAGAGGGAAGTAGCTGCGAAGCCACTGGTGTTTAATTTTCAAGAAAAAAAAGACACACAAACACACACAAATAGATTCAGCAGCATTTTCCGAATGCAAAAACTAAGAAATATCTCCAGCAGAGTCCGCAGCCTTAATGAGCGTATGATTATTATGTAGAGGCTGTGTTATGTAGCCGGGCTCAAGTCAAAAATAAATTGCTGCTTAAAAATAAGTCATTTTGATCCACATTCGTGCAAAACACTAAAGCTGTGTAGTTCTCCTCAGAGATCAATTTGGTCAACAGAAACTTTTCCTCCACTCAAGGCTACACTTTTCACTCCGAGGATCAAAAAAAGTATGTTTTTTTTGTGTTTTTAGACTTAAGATGAGAGCCAGGAGCAGTGCATCATGCAGACAAATAAACCTAGGTTCCAGCATGCTTTCATTATGGATACACATTTAAAAAAAACAGCCACGAGTAAGATTGAAGGCAGTGAAACAACATTCGTTCACCTGGCTGTGGACACTAAAGGTTGTTTACACCTATGAGAAATAATTGGATTCCCCGAGCTCCTTTTTGAGCGACGCATTCAAGCCTGCGAAAGCAAAACTGGGGTGTCAGGGATGTTTCAGAGGGGCGATGTAGCCAGACACGACCTGATCAAAGAGCAAACACTTCGAAGAAATTAATTCAATTAATCCCACACAGGAGGAAAGCAGGAAAGATAAATAAGAGCCTGCCGCCACTGTGAAACTCAGTAAACTTCGAGTCATGGTCATGCTAAAAGGAGTGTGAAATCTGTTTGTTTGTTTTTGTTTTTTTAGATAAAAAGAGTTCACATTAATAAAGAGGAAACAACACAATATCTGTGTCTTTAAATAAATGCTTTGCATCATATTTTCTGAGCTAAAGTTCAGTGTACCCACAGTGGATTTTAGCCTGAACAGTCAAGATGTGACACAAATACAGAAGATCGGGTTAATTTGGGGAGGGCTTAAAAAATATTGAAATAACTGTTTGGAAATTACAGACATTTTTATATGAATTACAGTGTTTTTAATTTTTTTAGTTCCACATTTTCAGAGCTTCAAAAGTAACTGGACAACGTGGCATCGTTTTAAATTTAAGGATTCCTTTTGATGCGTGCTATTTTCAGCTGTCACAAGTGGTCTCCACACCGGGTGGCCTTCCTGATTCAGCCCCAAAGTAGATTTTTGTCTCCACCTGCAACCGGCAATCTTTTGCTTGCCAGTAAAATGTGTTAACCACCACACTGTGGAGCCAACATAAGGAGCAAATATAAGGACTGTTTTTAGTGCTTGGATGAAAATCCGGTGCAGTCAGTGACAGCCTGGAGTGTAGAACCCATAAACATCACCAAATGCTCTGCCAGACCTTTACTGTCTTTCAGTTGCTGTTTGTCTGTGAGTCTTTCTGCCTATCTTTTGTATTTAATAACTGAAAAGCTGCTCTGTTGCATTTGCAGGATGCTTTGGGTCGTTATCCATTTGAACTGTGAAGCACTGGTTGATCAGTTTTGCAGCATTTGGCTGAATCTGATTGGAGACTACGGCCCTGCATGCGCTACGATTCATCCTGATACGTCATATCAGCAGTATCATAATCAATAAACACTAGTGACCTTGCTTCCACTGGCACCCATACACACTCATGCAATAACACTGCCTCCACCGTGTTTGTCAGATGATGTGTTGTGTTTCAGATCATGAGCCTGTCAGTCTCCATACTTTTCTCTTCCCTTCATTGTGCTACAATTTAATCTTGGTTTCACCTGTTCAAAGATGTTTTTCCAGGACTGTGCAGACTCTTTTAAATGTTTTCTGATAAAATCTAATCTGGCTTTCATGTTCTTGAATGTAATCGGTGGTTTGCACCTTGTTGTAAATCCTCTGCATTTTGAGTCGTCTAATAATTTGCTCCATTCTTGATTGCAAACTTTGAGAATAGTTAACCCACCTCCTTGAGAGGGTTCTTCAGTTGGTTAGATGTTGTGAAGCTGTTCATCATAGAAATAATTCTGTGATCATTCACCTTTTTCACTTCACGTTTGATGTTGCTGAGCTGGGTGGTGAATTCCTTCTTTTAAAGCACCAGATTTTTGACTTGGACATGTTTTTGCCATCTCTCTTGTTTCTTTTGATCTTTCGACCAAATGATGGCCTCTCGACAGCGGTCATATGCAAGTTCAGCACTGGAAGTGTATCTGTTTATCTTGTCATAAAATAATGAAGGAAAGGGCCTCATCAGGCCATGAAACTCCCTGTCAGTCAATTTTCTGATTACTTTTTTTTTTGCAAATACTTAAAGAACATTACATAGTAATCAAAACAGTAAGAACAAGACAAAAACAACAACATAAAAAATTATAAAGACAAAAAGAGGCAGTGGAGGAGTTCGAGTGAGTAGGAGATTAGTTCGGCCGCAGAAACCCCATTTCAAGTTAGAATTTGATCATAAAATTAAATAAAATTTAAGATTCCTATGTGAAACCAAAACCTTCATGTTGAAAATTTGTAGAGATCAGAACGTTTGTCCACATAAAGGAGAGTAATATCGGTTTCCGCCAATTTTCTAAAAACTTTTGAGCCTCTGAAAATGGGAGATGGTGTATAAAAACAGGCTTTAATTCCTAATTAAAGCTGAAACTAACTGACTGGTTTAAAATCCCCTGTTGTCGTGTAGAGAGGCAACATTGCAAAATTACAAATCTGCATAATTGTCCAAATACTTACAAAGTTTAAAGATTTCCACCTTATCTCTGCTTGAAAATGATGGACAGTCAGACATAAGTAGGACACAACCATCCAGTGTTTAGATACAAAGAGCAGCTCCAGTGAAAACCCCTTTCCTCGGTGCTTCCCCCTCTCAGCCTCTCTGTCCCACATGGCTGCTGAGAGCTCAGTGGAGGCTGCAGTGGTAACGTGCCAAAGCCTCGTTGAGGAGTTGTCTCCAGGATCTGCCTCCCTGAGAGGCATCGGTGACAAGGGCCTGATTGATGCCACGGTAAACAAATGTCAGGGGAGCCTGCCAGCTTTGGCTGCCGCTGCTTTGGGTGCGAGGATATAAGGAGGCGGAAGCAGTGAGATTAATTTGGAGGAAGGGGGGGCTGCTAGCATTGCGAATCAGAAAAGTCTTGATAGCTGGCGTGTCAAAAGACGGAGGAAAGGCTTTTGTGGAGGCAGAGGGTTTATCTTAATAACAAAAGTGAGTGTCTCTATTGGATCGGGGCTCTTTCTCTGTGAGATCTTCAAAAGAATAGATCTTTAGTAGCGGGCTCGGGCTGCAACAATGCAGACACAGACACGGTGCACATTAAACTACCGGGAGATGCAACAGAGCGACAGTCTTGATAATTAAGAATCGCTGCAGAATTAAACAGAGAACAGCTTCTGCTAACTCCCAGCTCACCCCTGACTCCCATCAGGGTTTAGGGTGTACAGTCTAATGAGCAAAAGAGGCAATAAAGCTGTCACCCAGCACCTTTTTGTGTGCATACTGACAGGCTTAATATCTTAAATCAATGCGGACAAAAGACTCCTGACGGATAAGATCAAGTTAATTTCAGACTGCAGGGGCAAAATTATTAAGCTGTCAATAGCGCCGTAGGTGAGGCGAGCGCGGCCTGAGCGGAGAAGAGACGGGGATTTAGCAATTATCTCTGGCGAAACAGGCAGATTCATCTGCACCGTTTGTCGTTTTGCAGATGATAAATGTGTTTCATTACACGAGTTTCACAGCACTGAGGGAATAAGCGAAGGATTCGGGAGGGAGATGATTCCCCCGTAGAGTTTCAGAAATAACAAAATCGTACCGTCTAAATAAAGCTTTCTTTCTGACTGACACATCACTGGGGAACGAGCTTCCTCCTGCTCCCCTTTGCTTTAGGCTCCATCCCTGTTTCTCGCCCCTCTGCTTTCTTATTTTTCCTCTTTTACTCCTTTTCATCTGCGCGCACTTTTGTTCCGAGCTCGTTTTCCTTCACCTACCTTGAGCTTAACAGCTCCTGGGCACTGTGAGCAACTTTAAAATCAGCCTGTTATTGGTTAATTGGTCAATTTTGGGCGTCCTTATGGCCAATTCTCTATCGCAAAATGAAGAAAGACAAGGTAGCAATTTACATGTAAATTTCCCCAGCATGCAATCTCGGTCCAAGGTGGCGCCTTTAAATTACTGCGTGCTTTCAATCAATACTGTGAAAGGAGGCCGGGTAATTCGACGTGCAGGACAGCTGCTGTTTTTATGAGTGTCTCTGAATGCCTTTTATAAACACATTGATCGCCCTTCAGATTGTCACAGCCTCATCTAACCATCCTCGCTGCTCTACCCCTCACAGAAAGTTTCCTTTGAAAGGCCACTGCTGGAAACGATGGCCCTGTCCTCACACTAACACACACAAACACTGGAGGAGTCCTCACATCTTTAACAAGCCCGGGAAATCAGAGTCAGGGGAACAGATACAGTGCATTATGTGTCTAAGTTTCTCGGCACCAATTAGAAAGCTATCACTATGCAAGCTTAATGATGGCGACCATGGGGGAAAAAACAAGTTGTACTAAAATATAGAATATGCTAAAAGCCGTTCATTATGAGCATAAATTATACAACAGCTAGTTTCGAGTGGAAGCGCGTGGGACTCCGTGGCTACCTCTCCGGGGCAAAATAAGCCAGTGTCACTTTTTAAAGATAGAGCCATTTACAACCAACCTAAGGAGTGATAATATCATTAACTACTGGGGATTAAAGTGGCTTTAAGTATTTTTAGAGCTGCTCCACTTTAAACCATTTGATGAAGCAATGGTTTGAAAGCTGGAAGCAGGAATGTGAAAGTGCCCAACATTGTTCTCTGCTTTTTCCTTTTTGTTTTGCACATAACAATGAGGCAGTAAACAAAAGGCTCCTGTCTTTAAAGTGGGACCGTTCAAAAAGGAAGAACTGAATAAAACCAAGTATGAATCGGTGTTTAACCAGCTGGAAAGGCTTCTCGCTTCAAATCAGACTCATCCACCTATTAGTCATTCGCTGTCATTTCTAAAACAGGGGCATTTGGGACCTTTTTGCATGGCATCTTGCTGAGAACTATAAAGCAACACAAAGCTATAATTGTTTTAGCTCACAGCAAAAGGAGGAGGAGGAAAGTGTTACTCTTATATTTCGTGAGTATCTGATGCTGCTCTCATGAATCAGGTCCCACCGCCGCTGTCGGAGATCCAAAAGGTCTTCCCATCATCAAGCCAGCGCCGTGACTAGTGGAGCCGCTTTCTCGCTCATGTCCCGGGGTGAGTGTTCAGCGCTGCCTGTGCGCCTCGCCTCACACATATGTGATGACACGATGGAGTGAACCGACACCCAGCCTCCATTTCACCTTCAGCCAATCCAACCACCCACAGCAACAGCCGCAACAAAGACACGAGTGGTACTACTCCTACAGATGTGCCAAGCTTTGATTTTTTCCCCTCTATATGCCTGCTGTAATCTTCCTCTGCACTCACTTCTTTTGAATCACACTTTTGGAAAGAAAAACTTTAGTCTTTTGGTGCTTTTTTTGCCCCCTCCGGCACCACATGCAGCATTATTAGAAATTCTGCTCTGCCTTCCTGCGGACATGTTTCTGAATCAGCCACCTCCCCTACACTATACTCAATATCGATACAGTCCACTTCACATTTCACTCATACACACACACACACACACACGCACGCACGCAGAAAGTTATACTTCCCTCAGTCGGATCACAACTAGCCACCCTCAACAAGTAATTTCATCAATCTTTCATTTACTGTGCGCCTCATCGGAGAACTCGTGTTATATCAGCCTGCATGACAAGCAGCTGTAGCTGTGACTCCAACTTATTCAGCATGAATTAATGGTGAGTATATATTATAGATGAGACATGACCAAAAATGAATAAAAAATAGGTCAAAAATGTACTAAATGTGTGAAAAGTGACTGCCGATTTCATGTCCTCCCCAAAAATAATACTAATAATAATAAAGTCAGCTCATTAGGACAAAAGTGGAAGATTTGAGAGTTATGGAAATTCCACCAAAAGCTCGAGCATGCCCAATAAGCCGCTCATTCTGAAATCTTTACAGAGTGCTTAAAATCTGTTAAGGACCAGCACTGGTCACTGCACATAAAGCATTGTGGGGCCATTCAGCGTCACTACCGCGAGCCCAAAATCAAATCCCATCCGTCCCAGTATCTGTGATACAGCGGGACTGCAGATATTTCAGGACTTCTGGGATTTTTAATTTCCTATATTACTTCAGTTTCTTTTCAAAAGACATGAAGTGAACGTGAGAGACACCTGTCACCATACAGGTACAGTTACATAATTCTTCATTAGTCATAAGTAAATGGTAAATGGCCTGTATTTATACAGCGCTTTACTAGTCCCTAAGGACCCCAAAGATCCAGTCATCCACCCATTCACACACACATTCACACACTGGTGATGGCAAGCTACATTGTAGCCACAGCCACCCTGGGGCGCACTCACAGAGGCCTACTCTTTAATACAAATGCTGTAAAAACTGATGAAATGATGTACGGCAACGTGCTCAGTCAGTGTTAAAGAACTGAAGAAGTAAGTGACAAAGACTTGAAGCATGGTCGTTTCCAACCTGTCTACAGCAGTGACTCATGGGTGTTTATGAGGAAATCATTAATTCAGCAGCTTTGTGATGGTTCTATTAGTTATTTTCCACTCTGACTTTGACTGGTGTGTTTTCCTGAAAACTGAGAATGGTATTTAGAGTTTGATTAGCAATGGGCCAAGCGGTTAACAGCGATAAATCACAAACATTTATCTGCAGGGCCGGTGCTTAAATGTTGAAGACAGAATGAAGACAGAATAAAGTGCTGCAAGTGTAATGCTGTGTTACAGTCTTTGCATCAGTACAGTGATGTTTTACAGTTGTTGTTGTTGTAGTTTACAGTAGCTGTCAAAATAACAGTTTCATGCTGGTAAATCTAGCTTGAGGGATGTACTATAGATACTTTATTGGGAGCTGTGTTACAGTACACTCTTATTTTTCTAACGTTTAAATCTAAATGTTGGAGAAAGAACTCTAACTGGGTATATTAACCCTGGAGTTTGTCTGATATTTGCTTTGCTGAAAGTGATTGATTTCTTTTTTTTTTTTTTTTTTTTTTTTTTTTTTTTTTAATCTCTTGCTGTTTTGCATTGAAACAATATAATGCAGAACGCATTCAGAAAATTCAGCTTGCACAGTTGATTAACGGGAGAAAATACTTAAAGTGCTATTGTTTTGCTGAGAAGGGGGTATTTATAGAGTATTATTGAATATTTAGGACCTAATGTACAGTATATTTTTCCATTTGCCAAAATGCTCAAGGTCAAATAAAACTTCTAGATGTTTCCTCCATGCACAAGGTATTTTTAACAAATTGCCAGGAGCATCAGTTGTGTGTAGCATCACTGAGGGTACTGTTAACCTCTATCATAGATACAGGGGATACAAACATTTTTTTTTTATATCCGACATAACATTTAGTCAATCAGCAGACTTCAGGGAGCCAAAGCAGAACATTAGGTTTAACACGCTTGTGAACACCTTTTCTGCAGAACTGTATAAGCCATAAACCAAGCAATTAATCTGCAACAGACCTGCAGCGAGGATGAGTAAACCAAACCATGCCTTCGCTGGCCGTGATGGATTGTTCTATGGCTGATTGGTGAATTGATTCCAGTGAAAGTAATGGTTATGAACTGTTAGTGTCCAGCTCAGACTGATTCCTTAGAGATGGTGCACAGACAGCTGGGCTGCCTAGCCTCAGATTTGGGAAGGCTAAATATTTCTCATTGCCTGCCAAGAGAAATATTTAGCTTCCCCTTTGGCTGGCAGATAAAACGCCTGATGGCCTAGGTGCAAGGTGTGTGATTAAACATGGATGCTTGGAGAAATGTAGGGCTCAGCGGTTAGGGCTGCATGCACCTTACACGATGGGAGCTTAATATATGGCAGAAGGAGCATGACAAAATATGCTTCAAAGTGCATCGCGCTCTCTCTCTCCTCCTGTTTGATTTGAAGTATTTTGCGATTCGCCACACTCTTTCATGTTTACAGAACATTTAGTGTTATTCAAAAAGAAAAAAAACACCCCTCTTTGAATCAGGTGGGAGTATTGCATGCTGCGAACGGAGAGAAGACAGATAACCTGGAGCACTTCCCTGTGCTGACATGACACTAAAACACCTAATTAACATTTGCGGCTGGCTGTGATGCAGACACATGAGAGGCTTTTACCATTTCCATAGTGAATCAGAATGCACGCAACAGGCTCCAGTGCACCAACATGCTGCATTCTGCAAAAGAGGACAAAAATATGGACTTCTGTCCACAAAGACCCGAATCATTTCACCATTAACCTTTTGTTTTTTGCCAACTCACTTCTTCAGATCTATTCCTTCTTCATTAGAGAAGATAGAAGTCAGTGACAGTTGAGCTCCATGGAACAAAAACAATAAAGATGAGTTTGGATCATTGCATCATTTACAAAATAACTTCCAGTTTGCTTGCAGCTCAGATCACACACATAATTGATATTTGCTGACAATGTAACAGGAGTGGCTGTGTACATTTTGACTATTAATCCTCTTTCATTCCCTCAGCTTTTACCCCGTCGTCATGTATTTAAACAAGCACCAAAGTTAGTGTTTTAAGGAGGCTGTCAATATCCTAACTCAAATCTTGCAATGTTTCAGCACTAACAGAATCAAAGTGAGGTGCAAGGCAAGGTTACTCCATGTTCAGATCAATACAAGAACAAATTTTACAAGTTTCAGTTTCGTATTTGTAACAGGATATTCCGCTTAATGCGGCCAGATTTTCTTTTTTTTAATAAAATAAAATTCTCAGAGCAGGTTAGTAAACGTTCAGCCAGAGGGATGGAGAGTGTGTGGGTTGGCTCTCACTGAAAAGGTCAGCATTTAAAACAAAACACAGAAGCGCTATAGCGGTACTATCCGCTAGGAAAAAATATATATTTACAAATCTATATTTGACTTAATGCGTTGGTGCCGATTGTTAGAAACGTGCTCTATCCCACAACATTATCAGGAGTACGTAAAACATTAACGTCCCGTATCTACGAGCTTTATTAATGACAGTTACCTGACACTGGGGTTTCGGGGACCCACTTGGAGCCCGGGTGCAGAGACTGAAATACTGTGCGCACCTCCTGGCAGTTTGGCACGTGTCCGCCGGGAAGGGAGAACAGCTGGAGGAAGGCGCACAGAAAGAGCGCACTGTGGACCGGTGAGGAAGCCATGGCTGACGGGCAGCAGCACTCAACCAAAGCGGACAGAGTAGAAGAAGCAGCGGTAAAGTTCAGCGCGCTAAAAGTTACAGGAGCAGCCAGCGTTTGCGCTGATGAGGTGAAGCTGCAGCTCCCGGCTCGGCTCGGATCAGCATCCTTCCGCTTTCCTCTTCTCCTCCTCTCAGAGTCCGTGCACTCTGCAAAGCTGCTCTCTCGGGCTTCTTGGAGCTACACGGATGCCGAGAACTTATGACTCCCTGTTCATTTGCAGCAGCGAGCGTCATCTCTCCGCACAGATGGATGAACGCCCCCCCCCGATTCCATGTGCGCGCTCATTAAAAAGCGCGCGCCACGGCGTGAAGCTAGCTGCGCTTACAGAGAGCTCCTCTCAGTGATGCGCTGACACAGTGGACCTGTGTGGGCGCTCGAGTGGAAATATGAGGGGCTTAATGCGCTGCACGAGCCGCTTTAGATTAACCGTACGGGATTTAACTGGGGCACATCACTCGTGCGTTTCACTATACATTTAAACCCGTGTTTACCAGGAGCTGCACACAAAACACCAAAGACATGTATGAGCGGCAGTTTATTTTTCATTCACATGGAGATTGTTCATACAGACAGCTGGTTGTGCACGAAGCACAAAACTCACTGTTACATTATACAGATTTCTTCATGTCAGTTTAAAATGAGTCTTACTTTCACTCAGATCTACAAGCATTAAAGTTGAGATGGTGCCATCTAGTGTTCAGTGTGGATGTCAACAGCAAAAACGTTGCCCAACAGACAAGGACAAGATATTAAACTCCGCAGACCGAACAGTTCATCAAGTCAGAAAAGTTGTTTTGGGAGTTTAATCATCTATTCACAATGTTAAGTGTTGAAATTTAAATCATCCATCTTAAAAACAGCAAGTGTCACAACACCAGAATCACAGCAGAAGTAGAAACAGCAGCAGCTCATCTCGTGCCTGCTGTGAAAGGCTTTCAGTCTTTCAAGTGTTGCTCAGGACAGACAAAACACACGCGTGTCGCACTTCTGAGAAACCGAGAGCTTTGCATGGATTTGCACAGCAGAGTCTTTCAGAAGCTGAGAACAAACCATCAAAACTCACTGTAAGCCCAGCTGAGTTTAAGTGCTATGAACAGGCGGAAAGGTGACCAGCAATACCCCAAGTGCACAAACTGCAGTAGATGAACGTTTACTACCTGCACTGTGAGCACTTTGGAACTGCCGGGACAACAGTGTGTTCATCTCAAGGAATGAAAAGTCATGAGGGAAGATGTCAGAGGAAAGACCTGTAAAGAAGCACATGTGACAGACACAGACTGCTTTTACTGTCACACTTATACAAGATGATTTTTTAATAATTTTTTTTAAATGGCCAGCAACCATTGCTTCTATGTTCCAGTGGCATGTGTTATATTTTTAGATTTTAAAAATACAAATTGATGGGTGGGCCGTGGGGGGGGACAACTCCCTGGGCAACTTTAAAGCATCCATTGATCAATCTAGATATTTGTCCATTGAGTTTTTTCTTACCACTGCCGCCAAGTGTTCGGGGGGGGGGCAATATAAAGCGCCGTACGCCATCTTGTTGATTGGGCGCTACACAATTGAAGTGAACTGAAAAACAAGCCCTCCAGACAGAAGGGGCAACTAGGGCAGTAGACTTTGAATACTTCACCAACTACACTAGATGCACCTTAGCTGGAGGACCATGAGGCAAAAATGGAGGGAAGTGATAAACTGGATCACTTCCACACACCGCCAGTCTGCACGATCTGCAAGGAAATCAAACAGAACATGAATAATTACTTAAACGGATTCCAATATTAAGACTGGATACATGTGTTGCCTTTAAGTGGTATAGGAAACTCATTAACACCAACGTGCTCTATATTAGAGTTAAAAAGAAGTTAAACACGATAAACGGCGGTTTACAGGCACGACATTGCAAAAAGGATGGTCACGTTGCCATTAGCCCTGCACTGACACGCAAAAGTTACAGTCCAAGAGATTCTGATATGTTACACGTGCACACACTCCTTCACATTAAAGGAAATTATTCCGTCTGCTCATTTAAAAATCCGATTAACCTGTGCAATTAAACACTGCATCAGATTTAACCAGCTGATGCACCGAGGAAATCCTATAACTGAGTTACAACGGGCTGCCGAAGCTGTTCTGCAGCGTGGAGAAAACATGGAGAAGTTTCCCTTTGCACCAATGTGAAGTCTCATTTTTCAGAAATAAAACCGTGAAAACGCCTCACAAATGATCCGACGTACCCCGAGTTTTGCATGAGTGCAGGCCAGCTTTGGTACTCCACATTACCCAAAGGTTACAATCAAGCCTTAATCTTCGATCGAGCCACACCAGTTCTAGAGGTTTCTCTCCACGGTATCAGCACGGCCCACGTGTTTCACTAAAGTTTGGAGAAGCAGGAGGAAGTTTAAACTTACGACGCTCCATTTTCCAAAACCATATTTCAGGATACAACATCGGAGGTCATCTTTGTTCGCTTTTTATCCCTGAACTAAAAGTTTCAGAAGGCCGGAGAGCCCTGCCCTGCTCTGCTCTGCTTTCACGAAGCGGCGCCAGCGGCGTCTGGTGCTGCCCTGATGAGCGCATGGAGTCCCTCAATTAAAGAATAGCACTCAATCAATCTAATGACGCAATTAAGACAATCAGTGCCGGCTGCTGAGCAGTAAGCGGGTTCATGTTTAGGTGTTCGCGGATTAATAAAGAGATCGGCCTTCATTTGCGACCTGAGCAAATGCACTTTAACAAGCTATTGTCAGCCTTCGTGTGCAGATTACACCAAGACTGAATAATCCGATAGATTCAATACTGCCTCACACAGCGTTCAGATTAATGCGCAGGTGGCGCCGACAAACTAATCAACAGCCGCATCAGACTTTATGTCCAGACGTTGCCAATCAAACGTTTCTATTAGCGCAGTTGTCAGCACACGGCTTACCTCTGATCGTGTTGAGCTTCATTCAGTTTAATGGGTGTAGTCAAACCAACGGGGGCTTCCCATAAAGCAGAAATCTCGCAGTATCTCTGTGGATTTTCCATCTCAGTGTATTCCTTTTACCACCCTTCAGCGCAAAAAAACAACAACAACAAAAAAACTTTTGTCATTCATCAAATTGTAACAGCATCTTTTTCTCTTTCTGTATTTCTTCCTCTTTGTGGGGGTGGGGGCAGGAGCGCAGGCGGATGTGCGTCCTTAAATCCACTCATAATCAATGCACTTGTAGATATTTGGTATCATATATCTACAAGCTTTCCTCTGAAGCGACATCCGCTGGGGAAGAAAAAAAACAATCTGAATATGAAACCTGAAGTGAGATCAGTTTTATTGACCCACCTCACTCATCCATTCACTGCCGTGCTGGCCAAAGAAACCCAGGAAGCTTGTGACCTATAACCCCAGTAAAACCCTGCCCCCACATAGCCTTCTGTGCTGTCCGCAGCCAGGATGTCCCTCCTCTGCAGTCCCACACAAAACACCATTTAATAAAACTCTGTTTTCAGCTGTCAAGCAGAGGGATGCACGGCCTTTCCAAAGCACGGCGGCACTCCCCTCTCCACCGTGGAGCCGAGCTGCAGTGTTGCCTTACTTTCCGTCTTCTCTGGTTGAACTTTGACCTAGTTTCCCAGGCTGTATGTGTGTTAGAAAGCCTGTGATTGGCTGCATAAAGAGAAAGAAGGCCCCCAGCTGCCATTTTATTTAACTCATCTGCAATACGTGATTGATGTCTGCACAGACACAAGAAAAGGGATCATCATAGAAACACAGAAAAAAAAAATGCAGAGTCCATTGTGTGCATTGGTGGCAGCAGCAGGGTGGCTCAGTGGTTTACATTGGTGCCTGTAGGTGGCTCGGGGTTACCCCCGCCATCGAAACTGCGCCCAACTCCAGCACAGATCAAGTTGCTCCTCCTGCCGTCGCACTGCCTGCTACACATGAGAGGATCAATCAAAATATCGATAGTATTGATACCAACGATGGTATTGGTATCGGATACATACTTTGTTTCTATCCTCAGAATCAGTGTCAGTCATTCTGAATCAGAATTTGCAAACTGATGATGATTCATCTCATAAATCACGATACTACTGCCCACTCCGCTTGCGATACACCCTGCTTTTTTACTTAGAGCCAGCTTGAAGAACGCATGCAGACGTGGACAAAATTATTAGCCCTGCTATGAATTTTAAAGTTTTTATCAAAGAACAGAAAAACAGAAAAACAGAAAATAGCATTTTGAAACAAACTAGTTTTCTTTTCTTTATCTCATCAAGGTGGAAGGAAACCTCAAGGAGTCAGAAACAATCCTGGGTCTGGGTCGTCTCTTTATTTTCAAACACAACAACGACCCAAAATCTGTCGCTCCTGGTGAAGAACTACCTCCAGAAGACCAAAGTAAAATTCCTGACTGGCCGGCACAAATCCCTGACTTGAATCCCACTGAAAATCTCTGTGTTGAACTGAAGACCAGGATCTATGCTGGAAGATCATGAAATCTGGAGGAGCTTGAGAGATTCTTTGAAGGAGAATGAGCTGGAATTGTTCAGGATACGATGTTTTGAAAAGCTGTGTTAAAAATTTGCTCTGTGTAGCAGCACTTGAGAAATACTAATACAAAACAGGCAACAAGCTCTGGGTGGAAGCTGCCCTCTTTTGTCCTAGGAGCTGAGAGGAGTGACACCCAGTGCGGTCTTCTGCTGCTGTAGCCCATCTGCTTGCTTTGCGCATTTAGAGATGCTCTTCTGCATATGTTGGTATGTAATGATCCATTGGTTTAGTTACTGTTGCCCTCCAATCAGCTCAGAGCAGCCTGTCCAATCTCTGCTGACCTCTGGTGTCAACAAGACATTTTCACACAGAGAACTGCTGCCCACTGGATATTTCCTCTTTTTCAGGACATTCTCTCTGAACCCTAACAATGTTTGTAGGAAGATTCCAGCAGATCACCAATTTCTGAAATACTCAGACCACCCTGTTTGGTACCACAACATTGCCATGTTCAGAGTTCCTTTCCCACTTTGAACTTCAGCAGGTTGTCTTGACCATGTCAATATGCTAATGAGTTGCTCTCATGTGATTGGGTGATTAGAAATTTGTGTCAATAACCAGTTTCCTTCAAACATTATCACAAAACTGGAGGCCATATCACTCAAGCATTCTCTGTGTTCTGAGACATCAGCAAAAATTTATTATGAGGCCGCTCCTTAACTTTATGCATAAATAATTAACTGTTTGCTACAAAGTTATTAGTGCTGAGGTTTTAT